TGAACTCTCCTTCTGTCTCCTCTCGGTGAAACATTTCTGACATTCCTCGTCAGGCCGTTGGGAAAGACGAGGGCGTTCTTCCACATCCAAATGACTGTTCAGACGTGGACGTCAGCCAGAGGTCTCCATGTTCAGGCAACAACAACAGGAGGCGCAGGAGTGTGTCCACGGTCACATGACTACATGAAGCTACAGTCAGAATATTCACGTCAGTCCTTCAGTATTGTGGTGAACCTGTCGATGCAAATTAAAAATTCAACAGCTTTCATTTTTTAAACTTTATTTATTTTTTTGGTTTCTGTCTGAATGTTCAGGATTACTCGGCCAAAGAGTACATGATTACGGTACTTGACCGTATCATCACATCCTGCTCCCGTCTCTGTTTTCATTTGAAACAAACTCTTCCTCCACTAATGAACTGCTGCAGGCGCCACGTTAAACGCGTTCCAGCGGCTCAAACGGCAGCGTTCCTTCATTTCCTGGGAAGTTTTTAATGTGGAACATCTGCTCTGGAGCTTCATTGAGAATCTGGCTGACACCGTTTCACTTTACAATCTGTTTGAGTCCCGACATTTATCTGGTCAGTTTTGGTGAAGACGGTGACGGGGAGTAATCAGCCTTAGAGTGCATTCACACCAGGATTCACACCAGGATTCACACAGTTGGCTCGTCTGGATGTAGAAAGAGGTCAACGACAACAACAACGACCAGATTACTGCACTTTAGAGTACAACTCCTCACATGTACAGTACACGTCGTCTCCACCAGAACCACAGATTTCAGTGAATCAGACACACGTGACCAGTTCAGTCATGCTTCAACTTCCTGCCTGGTGGAAAACAACAAACAAACGATGAAGAAGCAGCAGCAGCACGTCGTCAACAGTAGGAGACTTTGGAAAAAATGAAAAACTTCCCGTCTTTTTGTCCGTGGACCAGGACCAGAACAAAGGTCCAGTCTCTGGTCCTAATCGAGCTGTAACTTGGTGAGGAGGTCGACGACGTCCTGCAGACCAACAAAGACTCACTCTGTCACTGCAGCTCAAACAAGGAAGACAAAAACTGTCAACTGCATGTGATGGAATTGAATTTGTCCCGTTTCCTAATGAAAAACATCCAGGAGGTTTTAGTCTCAGGAAGAGCATGGACTGTCGGCCAATCAGAGCACGTACATAAGATGTGGTGTGAAAAGACTCGTGACTCGTCGTCCACTTGTTTGGACGGGAATCCGACCCAAGACTTTGTGAGAGGACATTAGTCAAGAGCTGCACGTCCTGACACGAGGCTCCTGACGTCTCAGCAGCTGTTCGTGTCACATGACTGCGTTAAGGTATCTTCACCGCGTCTGTTCCTTCCCACGTAAGTACGACCCAAAAACGAGAGGAATGTGATAAACTGAGAAGAAGCCCCCGGGGCAGGATGGGTAATAACACCGCAGCTCCTCACCCGACCTCCTGGAACCGCCGTTGTCGTGGAGACAGGATGACGGTCATTATGTGGTTGTTTGCTGCTGATTTGCTGCTTGTTGTCTGACCTTATTTTTAGGAAGGCCCCTTTAATTAGACCGTGGTCCTTATTATGAGTGTCAGGTCAGTGGGACATACCAGAGCTGGGACTATTACAATGAAGAAGCCTGCTGCTGGGAGGGGGCGAGGGGGAGGAGGGTGAAGTCAGGGGGGGGCGTTGGCCTCCATGACCTGAAAGACTCAGCCTTCATGTTCAGTGTTTTCATCCTCGTAGATGAAACTCAGATTCTCTAGATTTGGAAAATAGACGATGAAACATGATGGAAAAACTGACTGTGGGTCAATATGGGCTCTGGGCCACAAAGTGGTCCTTTAGGCTGGACTCACTCCAGGACCAGTTGTTCCTTCACCTCCCAACAGCCACAGAATCTGGACTTCAAGAATGATGGCCCTGGTGTGAGTGCGCCCCTAGTGGCAGGTTCAACGTCACACTGACTGACTCTGGTTCAGATATATTTCTGTCTATTTCTCACTTCCTGCTCGATCGTTGCCATGGTTACGTAGAGCCAGCCTGACCTTACTGACATTTGATTTAAACACTATTGAAATGTCAAAACATCGCTGTAATTACTCAAATACTTCTTCAGATTTCGAGTGGTTTCAGAATCCTCATCAGTTCTGAGACACAGCGACTGCAGAGGAGAGAACGCTGTTGTTTGTTTGTAAACTCTGGTCCGCTTCACAGAAGTGTTTCTTCCGATACAAACAGTTTTCTTAATGAGGGTTGTAGCGTGGACGTAGCCTCTCCAATTAACCTCCACCATCAGGGGGCGCCTGCTTTGTGCAACAAAACAAAAAGTAAAAACTCTTGGCTTGAACCGTGTAGCAAAGACTGGTTCATCAGCAGACCACCCAGACTGACACACACACACACACACACACACACACACAGAGTGTATTGTTCACATGCCTGGAGTCAGTCCAGGAGAACAGATCTCACTCCACTCCATCACTGTCGGAACAATTAGCACGGGGGCTGACCTTTGACCCAGTGGGCAGCAGTGGTCCAGAGAACACAGAGCCAGGAGTTTAACACACTTCTGAAGACAAACAAAGAGTCCAGGTTTTTTAAGAGAGTGCCTCGTTGGCTCCAGCTCACAGGAAGTGGTCTCTGTTCGACTGCTGCCGCCTGGAGATCAAAGGCAACGACAACAACTCAGGGTTAAAGCCCGAGCAGCCGAGGCTCCAGTTCATCAGGGTTAAAACATATATATATGTTTATGATTTACCAGCTTGATATATTTTTGTGTTTTACCCCAAACTATAATAAAATAAAAAATATAAATACATACACTACATCTGTGCCGATCAGACCCTTGGACTGCACATCGATCTTCTTGAAATCACTTGTAAACAAAGCTGAATTGAACTGAAATAAAAACCATTAGCGTCAGTTTTAGGGATCGGTTCCTTTGGTTCAACTTTTCCCTGAAACTGAATCAAACATAGAACCAACCTGATCTTATCTCAGTTTTTCAAAACAACTCTACCAGTGTTTGTTCATATTCAGGTTTGAATCCGCCCACAGTGAATTTCACCTCTTACTTCAGCTGTGACAGTGATACACAAAACGGCGGCGTGAAGCACGCGGCTGCTTCGCGCTAAGAGTCGACAGCTGTTCGCCAAATGCCTGTGATCCAGCGATTACCACAGTCACCGCTCTGCAACCTGGGCCACCAACTGTCACACCGCTGAGCCACAGCACCCCCTCCAGATGATCAGGCACATATGGACCATATATGTGAAGAAAAAAAAACCCCAATACTGCAGTGATGTCATCATCTACGTCCTGGACTGAGGATTAGTGGAAGAACTTTGGACCATGAGCCAAACTCCTGTAATCCTCAGCAGAACTGCACACTCCCCCCCCCCCCCCCTCCCCCCCCCCCCCCCCCTCTCTGCCCCCGTCCATTCCTGATACCTGATACTTGGACTCGAGCACGGTTGGTGTTCGCACCTCAACACCCCCCCCCCCCCCCCTCCCTCTCTGCCCCCGTCCATTCCTGATACCTGATACTTGGACTCGAGCACGGTTGGTGTTCGCACCTCAACACCCCCCCCCCCCCCCTCCCTCTCTGCCCCCGTCCATTCCTGATACCTGATACTTGGACTCGAGCACGGTTGGTGTTCGCACCTCAACACCCCCCCCCCCCCCCTCTCTGCCCCCGTCCATTCCTGATACCTGATACTTGGACTCGAGCACGGTTGGTGTTCGCACCTCAACACCCCCCCCCCCCCCCTCTCTGCCCCCGTCCATTCCTGATACCTGATACTTGGACTCGAGCACGGTTGGTGTTCGCACCTCAACACCTCCCCTCCCCCTTCCTCCCTCCACTCTCCCCTGTCTAAAATCCTCGCCCGACCTCACGCCCCGCATTGGCCGCACTCTCCCACGGCTCCATCAATCCCATCAGCCCCGGGGGCGGCACCAGCTGCCACACAGGTCTCATGTCTGTGGCGTCTTAAAGGATCTCCCTGCAGCTAATACCACTTAGGCACCGAGCGCTTCATCTGAAGGCGGCTCAGCTCCGACGGCGCTCCCATAAAAATCAAACGTCATCCAAGCACAGGGGTGGGCTGACAGTAGGGACCATACGAGGCTGCCAGGAGAGAAAGTAAAGTCAGGTTGAAGATGAATAAGAACCTCAGTCCAACAGCTGCTGGTTGTTCTGTACCTCGATATATTTGATCGAATGTTAAAGTTCACTGGGAACCATTTCCTGTAGTTGGTGTAAAAGGTGTACTACAGGTGTACTACGTACGAGGCTGCCAGGAGAGAAAGTAAAGTCAGGTTGAAGATGAATAAGAACCTCGGTCCAACAGCTGCTGGTTGTTCTGTACCTCGATATATTTGATCGAATGTTAAAGTTCACTGGGAACCATTTCCTGTAGTTGGTGTAAAAGGTGTACAACGGGTGTACAACGGGTGTACAACGGGTGTACAACGGGTGTGGGCAGGTTTCTTTCTCGACCTAAGAAAATTCCTGTCAGTTTTGGTGATTGTTGGAATCTCTGCTGCACCTTTAATCATGAACATGTGGCTTTTCTTATGTGTAAAAAAGCTTTGATTGTTCAGAGTTCAACAGGTCCGTCTCTGTTAGTTCTGATCCAGGATCTGTTGGTACTGATCCAGGATCTGGACTCGTTACATCGTTAACAACGTCATTAACGACTGCTGATGTCATAAAAACGATAGAAAACCACAGAAATTGACAACAACGTCAGTCGACCAGAGACTCTAGGAACGGTCAAAGAAAGGCAGATGAATTCACCGTTTCCTGGTGGACGTGGACCTGTGAGAGGATCTGATTGGCCAGGAGAAGAGCTGATCAGATCAATGAGTTCTCCACACAGGGATTCCCCTGCTTTAGTCACGCTGTTGATGGCTTTTCCTAGAGGATGGAATCTTCTTCTTCTTCTTCTTCAGTATCAGTGGCTGATTGATCTCTGGTCCTCGGGGACCTCTTTGATGTCAAGAACAAAGGGGTTCCTCTAGGGTTACACAGGTCAGGATTGATGATGCGTGAAATCAAGGCCTCTGAGGGAAAACCCTGCAGAGCCTGAGACGACCACTCGGTCTCTCCAAATAATGCCGTGACCTAAAAGAGAATCTGTCGACAGTCGACAGAGTCTGGAGAGCCTACAGATCAGTGCACATCAAAGCAGGACTCCAGGTCCAGGTTCTGCTGCTGCTGGACCAGACTGGCTGGATCTGTTCCACTACCACAATCAAATCTACTGTTTGTCTATACAGGAAGCAGATCGGAGCCGTCGACGGCTCGGGACGCCTCCTCCGAGACCCTTCGCCGCTCCTCTCGCTTTTGCTCGTCTGTCATCTCCTTCCTGTCTCCTCTTCCTTTCTGCGCCGCGGCGGACAGACGCGTTGACAGATGGACTGAACACATCCGGACACAGGAGAAGAGGAGGGTATAGAAAGGATGGCTCAGCTCAGGGGGGCAGGAAGCCAGAGGAGTGGGAACGCCAGCAGTGAGCGAGCGAGAGCGAGAGAGAGAGAGAGAGAGAGGGTCGATTCAAGAGAACGAGGGGAAACTGAAAGTTTTCCACAACTTGGAGAGAGTAGTTCACAACCACGATTCCCTCCCTCACCTGTTGGGGGTGCTATGAATGTTGTTGTAATGTGCATTAATGGTTTTATATAAGTGGCTCTTTGGCCCAGAGTCAACGTCTCTGTCATTGGTGTGGAACCCCAGGGTTCACCTCCTGGACAAGTTTGAATCTTGGTCAGGGCGGCTGGTTCCTTCCAGTGGACTCACCACCTCCAGGAAGGTTCGGGGGGGGGGTTGGTACGGTGCAGTGTGATGTGGGTGGAGACTGCTGCCCCCACGACCTGGTAACGGATAAACAGATGAAAATGGATGGATGGGTTTTATATAAAAAAAAAGAGAGAGAGAGAGAGAGAGGTATGAGAGGAAGAGTCATCCAGGAGGAAGAGGAGAAGCTGCTGTCGTGACATTCAGGAGAAAAGGTCAGCGAATCACGGAGGTGACGGTAAAAGTCAGGTGACATGTGACGCCCTGCTCATTAACACAGATCATTGACGAGGGTAAATATTTAAAAAGAAAATGAACAGTGGCAGAAAAAAAAACATCCTGTTCTAAAACTTCTGCTTCAAATGTGTTTCCTTCATTGAGGACGTTTTGGGAATATAAATATATAAATATATAAATATATATCTGTGTATTTGAAGGACAAACTCTTTCACGCTCCATGAATGGATAAAGGACATTTTTTTTCTTCTAACTTTCTGCACGTGTTACTTGTAGTGATTACAGTAATCCTGACAAATTTAACCCTCGGTGACCGGGTCGGATCTGAGCGAAGCTGTGAGCAGTTCAACGGAGGCTTAAAGGAAAAACCATTACCCAGGAAAAGATCCTGGAGTCTGGGACCAAACACCTGACTGAACAGACACATGGAGGAGGAGGAAGAGGAGGAAGAGGAGGAGGAAGAGGAGGAGGAGGAGGCTCTCTCTGGTCCACTGACCTCCTCCTCTGGACGGACCTGTCCATCCAGAGGAGGAGGCAGTAAGGTCCTGTGTTCT